AAAATTGTTTTCCTGATAATACAAGTACACAGAGCGAATTAGTGCCACACAGCTTTTTGTTTTGCCAATGTAAACAGTTCCACAAAAAAAATGGTTAACCAATCTCAAATAAGTTTAGCTTGGCGCGATTTAACTTTTCAAATCAATGAATGGACCTCATGGAAATGGAAAAAGAAAGTTATTCTCCAACCAATGTCTGGCCACTGTTTGACCGGCACATTGACCGGAATTTTAGGTCCTTCTGGAAGTGGTTTGTGTTACATTAAACAAATATTTGTTAACAAAAATTAATTATTTACTTTTTAAAGGCAAAACGACGTTTTTAAATATTCTCAATGGCAACAAAGTTCCAACATCAGGCAACATTTATTTGGGCAACCATTTAAAAGCAGCATTACCAGTGTCTTACAACATTCAACAGCATGTGCATGAAAGTATCGTTGGCGAGTTAAAAGTAGGAGAAATTTTAGAGTACGCCTACGCTTTTAAAAATGGACCAAGTTTAAATGGAAAACATCAGGTTAAAAAGCATATTAAAAAGATTATGAGTGCACTTCTATTGCCATTGAATCTGCTCACACAACGTTTTGAAAAATGCAGCGGTGGCGAGCAACGCCGAATTTCCGTTGCTCAGGAGTTAATGGCATTGACTCTTCCGGATTTTATATTTTGCGACGAGCCGACTACAGGTAAACTATTTTTAAAACCTATTTTTCAAAATTGTATAATTAATTTTGTTTTTAAAAGGTTTAGATAGTGCATCGGCTTTTGAAATAATGTTTTGTCTTCAACAACTTTCCAAAAACCATCAAATCACTATCATTGTTTCTATTCATACACCAAATTCTGAAACTTTAAATCTTTTTGATAAAGTAATTGTCCTTTCCATTGGTGGCAATTCTATTTTTTCAGGCTTTCCTAAAAATATAAAAAACAAGTTACCTGATAATTTATCTTTTTCTGACAATCCGCCTATTGAAGAGTTGCTCAAGATAGCATGTAATGGTTTGTTATTGTTTTTATTTTGTTTGCAAAATCTCATAAATATTTTTATAGCAAATTGCTCACAAATCATCACAACACTTGCCAATGATGAGCACTTAAATGAATCTGTTTTCCTAGATTGCTCATTTTCAAGTTTAGTAGACCAACCATATGGATTTTTAAACTCTCAAAAAACATTTTGCATAAACGACTTTTTCACTTCACTACTTCGGCAATTTAAAATAACATTTTTTGCTCAATTGAAAACTTTCTTTTTTCTTCCAATTATCTTCTTTATCTACTTTGCTTTTGTTTCTAGTGTTTTTGCTTTTAGTGGAACTGAGCGCACTCGATGTCTCACTACCGGAAATTTTTCTAGCAGTGTTTGCACTTTTATCGAAGATCCATTCCAACTAAACGACGCAATGCAAAAAAACGTTTATTATATCTCGCTAGTTATACTGTTTGTTGGCATTCTCATTCTCAACACTACAATGGAGTTGTACTCTAAACATCTTAAAGTGTTGCAATCTGAACATCGAAACTGTAAGTTGAACAAAAAAGTATAAACATTATTCAATCTAATTTTGCTTAACTATAGATTATTACAGCATTAGTGTTTACTACTGGTCGTCAAACATTATCTTTTTTTTAGAAATAAATTTTAGCGTATTGCTCATATCAGTCTTAAGCTACTTTTTCTCTGGTCAACATCTTGATGAAAAAAACTTTAATTGGTACCGTTTTGCTATTTATAGTTTTTTTATCTGGATACTGTGCATCTACTATCAAGCTGTGGGGCAGTTAGTGGGCAGCATACTGATTGATCATCCTCTCATTGGACTGCTATTCATACAAATTATTGGCGCTGCTTTTATTCTTTTGAATGGCTTGTACATAAAACTGCACCGAACAGGCAGTGTTTTTTTGGAAGAGCTTGGAAATCTTCTTGGTTTGGTTTATATTACTCGTGGCATATTTTACTCTATTTTTGTTTTTGACCGATGTAATAAAGAAGGAGAGTTTTCAAAAGTGGTGTTAGATCACCAGATTGAAGTAGAAAAGTTAGGATTTTATGTGCTACGCGTTTTGGGCAATGTTCTTTTTGTTAAAATAGCAACGTTCCTTGTTTTGTACATCAAG